GAAGCAAGGGCTTCTTATTTATGCCTTATCTTTTGATTGTTCCTGTAAGGAAGAATAAACCAATATAACAATGAAATGTATAACTAGTAAAACAAATTTAATGCTTGATAATAAAGAAATTGCATTGTTCCTATCTATCCTTTTCCTATATATCATTTCAACTTAAAAGATGTTTCAAATTATTCACTAGTTTCATTCAATTCTTTGAAAAAAAGATTAGAGGACTTGTTGAGATTTCATCATAAGATGGTTTTTCTGGGTGAAAAAAGAAAAACGAGTAATTTACACCGTTCACAAATAGGGGGCATATAAGCATGGGCAAGATAGATTGTGAAAAAATCCATTTACATTTCACAAGATATGGAACAATTACTGATACCAAACTCATATCCCTTTCTTTCTTCCACAACTCTATCAAATCTAAAGTTCTGTCTTAATACCCTGTATTACTTACTCAGCTAGTTGCTTACCATTATCATGAAACTTCAGACCAAACTCAAGAACAAATAGAAAATACAATCATAGAAATTGAAATCTTAGTTCTTTATTATGTGATATGAAAGGTGCACTTTAAGGAACCATAAATTAATCTCCTATTATGTGAGTCTTCCAATCCATGTTTAATAGTTTCCCTTTCTCATTTTGCCACTTATTTGGTTTTTATTATGTTCCACTTACATGCCTAGAGGATAAGGGAAAAAGAACACATATGGAATTTCACAGCAAGTTGATTGTGTTCTTTCTAGTTTTTTTGGAATATTTCCATATTCTAATCAAATTCTTTCTTCGCTAACATAATAAAAAAGATAAAAATGTTACCAGAAATTCTTTAGTGTTCCACTTTTTATCAATAAGATCTATCCACTTGGTAGGATCAATATCCTTCGGTGGGTGGTTTCTTGCATACTCCTCCCCGGGCTCTCGATGGTATCTCTAACAACTGAATAACATAATAAAATATGAATATATGTACAAAGATACACATGTCTATGTGTGTATGAATTAAAAGTAACAAAAAAGAATATATTTCACAATGCATAAATGTATAGTACCTCATGCTCAAACGAATCATAGGATTCAGTGTCACTGCCATCTTCAGCCTCTGACGGTCGATAATCATCGTCATTTTCCTCAATTGGTATTTGTTTTTCCTTCCTTAATTTCTTATGTTGAACTGCAGCCTTCAAAAAAGTTGTTATATTTTTCACTCCTAGAGCATTCATTCTCTCACGATTTTTATTAATTGCCTTCATTCTTTGTTTCTCATAGTTCGTTACCTTCTTAGTTGCGGTACTTTGTTTGGTCAACTGTTTTTTTGTAGTGTCCATTTTGCCCAACTATAAAGCATAATTGAACATTTTTTTGGTGGATAAGCATAATTGAACATTAGATGTAAAGAAAAGATAATTATATATTTCTATACATAAAGCATAAAGCAACAATAATCTCAACAAGTGGATATATCATATAGGCTTTAAATCATTGAAATATGGCTAGAGTGAGATGGATGATTTTTGTTTTTACCTTTTACATATCATAGAACAAATTAATTATAAAGTCATCATAATATGACCAATCAATGATAAACCATATATCAAATTATAAACAAAAGGAGATAACTTCAATCATACAAATCACAATTTTTTTAATGCTATCTAATTACAATCACATTTTTCTCATAAGAAAAAAAATAATTGAAAAAAAGAACCATTAAAATAGTAAATAAAAAGATTATTTAGAAGCATTGAACAAACTACAATCACATTTTTCTTTTTGTGAGTGTTTATGTTTATCTAACTTCAATCATATTAAAAAATCAAATTATAAACAAAAAGAGATAACTTCAATTATACAAATCGCAATTTTTTTAATGCTATCTAACTACAATCATATTTTTCTCATAATAAAAAAAATAATTGAAAAAAAGAACCACTAAAATAGTAAATAAAAAGATTACTTAGAGCCATTGAACAAACTATAATCACATTTTTCTTTTTGTGAGTGTTTTTGTTTATCCAACTTCAATCATATTAAAAAATCAAATTATAAACAAAAGGAGATAACTTCAATCATACAAATCGCAATTTTGTTAATGCTATGTAACTACAATCATATTTTTCTCATAATAAAAAATAATTGAAAAAAAGAACCATTAAAATAGTAAATAAAAAGATTATTTAGAACCATTGAACAAACTACAATCACATTTTTCTTTTTGTGAGTGTTTATGTTTATCTAACTTCAATTATATTAAAAAATCAAATTATAAACAAAATGATATAACTTCAATCATACAAATCACAATTTTTTTTGTGCCAGCTAACTACAATCATATTTTTCTCATAATAAAAAATAATTGAAAAAAAGAACCATTAAAACAGTAAATAAAAAGATTATTTAGAAGTATTGAACAAACTATAATCACATGATTCAAAGTTATGAGATCACACACTGCATTTCTTTCTTGTAAAAGGCATCTAAATAGTATAGACAGGTATATAAAATTTTGTTCACATGCATTGTTGTTGCCATTGGACATCCTCAAGCCCACATGTTTATATATCATCTTTGTATCTACTAGGTCATTTAATTTCTTTCTTGGCTATACATTGAATATTTTCTAAGTCAAGCTCAAGCATATATATGAACAACATACTGTTTTCTAATCTCACTTGACCTTATATTGGTGTGTTCCCTGCTCTAGACTAAATTGATTCCTTCTCGTGATCAACTAGCCCTAAGAAAACCTACAAATCAAATCAAATAATAAAAAATAAAAAAAAACCCTTAAAAATGAAGTGACGGTGTAAATTTATATCTAATGGGATGTGAACTACAACTAGAAGGAATCTAATTCATACATTTATATTTGAATTACTTCATTATGCATTTTTTTACTTGCTGGCATAAGATCATCTATATCATTTCCTGTATCATTATTTGTCTCATACTCTTTTGACAACTAGTTTTGATGAAATGATAATATGTAATTGATATAAAATAAAAATAAAAAACAATAGAGAGTAAGGCAGATGAAAATTCTTCCCAACGCTCTATCAATTAATCCACTACAGCCTTCTTTTCTTTTGTTAGTAGTAAATACTAAATAGTAAAAATTGAACCCTAGACCTAATCCCTTCTCTACTGGTATATTTTAAGTTAAATGACAGCTTTGGTAGTTCACTGCTAACTAAGGTTGCAATTATTAAAAATTTCATCTGATCTTACAATGATAAAACCAAACTAAGAAAATAAAACATAGAGAGAAAGTAGGGACAAAAAGTTGATAATGGGAAAACTTATGGTGAGAGAGTTCTATAAAGAGAATTTTGTAAACTATTAGATGAAGTTATATATCCTTTCTCATTTAGGGACAGCCCCACATCAGTAAACTTTTTTCTAAGTAAATTGTGATCCAGTAACCACCTCCTGCACTTTTATCAACTGTTCTGGTGTGTAAACCCAACCCCATAAAACCTCAAACAATGGATGTGTAATTTTGTTACCAATGGCAATAACTCACACATATCCAATTGCTGAAATATAATAATGACAAACTGACAATAAAATGACAAGTTTACTGCAATGACGCAGAACATTGAAACCAACTTACTGAAATAATAAATCTGAAAGCAACCAACTCATCAAATTCACTCATTAACTTTCAATTTGAATTCAGAGTTGATATATAAATAACCTAATTTTGCCCCTAAACAGTCAGTCAAATTCACAAATTAACTTTCAATTTGAATTCAGAGTTGATATATCAATAACTTAATTTTGCCCCTAAACCCTCCAAATCATATCAATTAAAGTTCAATTAACCAATAAACCAGAACTCTGAATATCATTTCACATTCAGAACACAATCAAAACATCAAATTAAACTACAAATTGATCAAATTATTCGAAATTTTATGAATCAACATCACATACACGACCACTCTATCAGGATTGAATAATGATTCTTAGAATTGATAATCATTATTCGAAATTAAAGAAACAAAAAAGCAAATATAAAACCCTAGAAATTGGGTGAAGATATATATATATATATATATATATAGAGAGAGAGAGAGAGAGAGGAAGAGGCCAGAAGTGGGTTGTACCGTCTTTGGTGAGGAGGTGGGTGCTCGTGTGCGACAGTGGTGGAAGGTGGCCGGTAGGAGGGTCGCTTGAGAGAAAGAGAGAGAGATGAGGGATGATGAGAGAGAGAGAGAGAGAGAGAGAGAGAGAGAAGAGGGATGATGAGAGACAAAACTGTGAGAGAGAGAGAGAGAGAGAGAGAGAGGAGGGATGATGAGAGACAGAACTGTGTGTGAGAGAGAGAGAGAGGGATGATGAGAGAGTGAAATGGGAGAGGACTGGTAGAGTAGTAGAATAATTAATAATAGTCGCTAATTCTTTTTTTAATCCCTCCAAAATTTGAAATCTCCCTCTAAATATTTTAATTTTTTGGCGATTAAAATATTTTTTTGTCATTGAAAATACACTTTCGACGACCAGACTTTTGGTCGCCAAAAATAAAAAAAAAAAAAATTATTTTCATTTGGCTACTAAACAATCTTATTCGCTAAAATTAACTATATGGCTACTAAATTATTCTTTTCTCACTAAAACTGAAATCAAAATCAAAATCAAACTAACAATAGAGAAAGAGAATCACACAGGGAAAAAAAAATTAAAAAATAAATAAATTTATGGAGTGATAGGATATTAATCCCCAACAACTTAGACCTCGCCTCGCCTAATTCGTCAGCTCATCCGCCAGTGCCAGAAAAGTCTAGGAGTTGGAATGACTAATCAGATTATTCTTTAAATAAGACTTAAAATTTAATTAATTTGTCTCATTAAGTGATAATTATATTATTAAATCATAATTCAAATTTAGATATTGTCATATCTTTTTGAGATCTATATCTAAATTCTTATCTTATTTATTTTTGTGTGGTTTCTATTTTTTTTTAATTTATTTAAGATGGAGTTGTGGATATCTATTTTTTTTTAAAATTTAATTTATCTACGGTTTTTATTTGTTTTTAATTATTATTATTTAGGTAAGTCATGATGTGAGTTAGATATGTGATAAACATGTGAGTTTTATTGATTTGATGGTGTGAGATAGACTTTAAAGATTTTTAAAATTTAAAATTGGACATTGAGAGACAAAAGAAAGATTTTAATTGAATAAATTTATTTAAGATGGAGTTGTGGATGTCTATTTTTTTTTTTAAATTTAATTTATCTATGGTTTCTATTTGTTTTTAATTATTATTATTTAGGTAAGTTATGATGTGAGTTAGATATGTGATAGACATGCGAGTTTTATTGATTTAAAATATGATGGCGTGAGATAGCCTTTAAAGATTTTTAAAATTTAAAATTGAATATTGAGAGGCAAAAGAAAGATTTTAACTAAATAAAAAAAAATCATATTTATTAATTTTATCTGTTTGTATATATGATTTTTAATTTTTTTTTTTTTTGGTTATGTTATAATATAAGATATAGATAGATAACCACAATTCTCAAGAAAAATATTATCCGATTTTTTGAGGGAGAGAAAAGGGAAGCAAGTTTTAATATTTTCTTTTGAAAATCATCAGAGAAATTACAATGAAGAGATTATGAAATATTTTTGTTATCTTTCTATTTGAAATCCATAAATTAAGGGATAATTATCATTTCCAAAATAATTAAATAAGTATGAGAGAAGTTGAAAAAGGGGGATAATTATTATTTTCAAAATAATTAAATAGGTATGAGAGAAGTTGAAAAGGGTGTGTATGGGAGAAGTCAAAAAGACTTGAGAGAAGTTAATAAGTGCTAAGTTTTTTTTTTTAAATCAAAAAATTAGGAAATTAGGATTGAGGTATTGGAGCTCTCACAAGGCTTGTGAGTTAGAAACCCCCTTTTCCTTTAGATAGATAGATATAGATATAGATAGATAGATATAGATATGACACATATCATTTATATGACACAAGGACCAAAGTACCGGGACAACTGCTACAATTTTCCCTCATCTAAATTAAAGAAATTTAAAAAGTAAAAAAAAAGAAAAAAAATTATAATATTAAAAATGTTCACTAAAAAAATATAGATTAAAAATTACAAATTAATTATTGAAAACTCCATACTAAACAAGGTAATGTTTTCTATTAATTTTGAAAATTAAAAAATTATTATTAATTTTTCCTCTATTTTTTTTTCTCACAAAAAAAATAGCTACATTAATTATCTTTTTTTTTTCTTTTCGTTGAGAGGGGTTTTGACCTGCAATTTTTCTAAAATGGGTGTTTTAGACGGAAAGGGTAGAGTTGGTTCAGACAATAAGAAAAAGTGCTAATGCAAGAGGCACCTTCACTATGAGAAAGAATAGTCGGTTTTGCATAGGGTGCCTTCTTGGATAATAGCTTCAATACTGGCATGCATGAAGGGCTTAAGTGTGAGACATATGAGAGAGGCTTTAGTGCGAAAATAGAAGAAATGGTTTATAGAGTGTCTTCTTGCTTCACGACTTCAATACTTGTGAGAGAGGAGTAGGTTCAAGTGCGAGAGAGAAATGAGGGTTTGTAGAAAGTGTCTTCTTGGGTCACAACTTGAGTGTCCATGCACATGAAAATGAATGATAAGG